TGTGTGTGTGTGTGTGTGTGTGTGTGTGTGTGTGTGTGTGTGTTACAACGTTGGTACATATTTCACTTCTATGCACTTTCCATAGTTTCAGTTCACGGTGTTCTACGCTTCTATGAACTGTTTACAGTTTGACACTACACTACATTCTGATTCCACAATTTCCTGTTTACTGTTTTATTATCACTGATTATTCAATGTTCACTTTAACACCACAGGTTTGAGAGTCTCGAATGTCCTGTACGATGCAGAATTGACAGTAAAGCAAACTTTGCCTTTGACCTTGAAGATCTGTCCCGCAGAGGAAAACTAATATAATGTAAACATGTGTATAGCTGAAACATTCAATTCAAATATAAACCTACATCTTAATCTTTTTATATCGCAGCAAAATCTCCTCTGACGAAGACAAGACACTGAGACAGTTCATGAATCACACTCATGGAAACTAATGAAATGAACAAATAAGACTTAATTTCATCACATTCCAACAGAAATATCTTCCTAAATTGTTGAAATGTTCCGTTTGTCTGCTTCGTTATCTCTGATATTAACAACCATAAAAAACACAAGACCGAGATCTGCGATAGAAATCGATGAAAATGTCACTTTACTGTGACACAAACTGAGTCAAACTGTCCCACAGAGTTTATTTATGGAGTTCAAACGTCCTCTACTACTTAATCACAGTCACTGAGATGACGTCACTGCAGGAGTCCTCAGAGGAAACGCTTCACTTTGTCATCGTCGCTCCGACTCTTCACTGAAGTGGCCTCTTCAGTTTGTGTGGCTCTTTCACAAACAATACACATTTTTTTAGTTTTTTTTTAAATTTCTTTTTAACACAGAGGCTTTGCCAGTTGTTAAAGCTTTGTGACGCATGAGTCCATAATCTTAAGGCTCCTAAAAAACTCTTCAGTGCTCACAGAGCTTGAGACAGAGAAACAAACCAAGTGCTGGAAGGATTACACATTTGGTTTTGGGCTGTTCTCTGCGGTGCATTTTTTTCAAAGTAACTCAACGTGGCGTGTCTGAATCTGCTTGAATAATTAAGATTTAGTCGAACTTCTGCACAACTTTTCCATCAGGCTGCACCTTAGAGGAGCTAAGTGTGAGGTTTTGGTTTTGCTGCACAGCGTAAACATCGGTTTACTCACCAGTCTGGCAGAAACAATGCGAGTTCAGCACCAGACTTCATCCTTTCACTTGTCGAGAGCTGTCAACTCTTGTTTTGCTTCTATTTCTATCATTTTATATTCTGTGCTTCTCCTGCATGAGTCAGTGTAGCTGCAGTCTGCCCCGAAGACTCAGCTCTGTTCAGAGGGCGTATTGATTATAACCTCTTTTCAAATAAACGCAACAATGGCTGAAGTTCTTGGCAAGCGACCACCACCACCACCACCTCCACCACCTCCACCACCACCACCACCTCCACCACCAGGCGAGAAACAACCTTCAGCAGCAAACACGCTCGCAGACTGTGGCGTCTGTAGAGCTTCGATGCACAGTCTTGTTCCAGGTTCTTGCGGTCTGTCGTTCCCTTATTAAATGTGCTCCTCGTTTAAAGCAGTTTATTGAACGATGAAGGACACCTGATGTTTTTAAAGTTTACTTCCTCTATCTTAAAGAAACAAGAGCTAAAACCAAGTGTTTCAGACAGAGGCTGAAAAGAGGAGCTGCAGCGGCGGACAGTCTGAGGACAGTGTTTTCATCATCATTATTATTATTATTATTATTATTATTATTATAATATTAAAATCTGATGAAGAGACACAAACACTAATAAATACAACATCAATGCAGCATGAGAATAGTGAAGAAGTAAGCAGTGCAGGGATTTCC